AAAAAAAAAAAAAAAGTGCTTCCTGGACTTCCAAGTGAAGATTTAAAGTTAGGAATTAGTAAGACAGCTTAGTGGACTAAGCGCCTGCTTAGGCAAGCGCAGGGACCAAGGTTCAATCCCTGGCACCACATGACGAGCTGGCCCCAGCCCCACCCCCATGCAAGCTGAGCTGGCCACTGAGACAGGGCATGGTGGTGCACACCTGTAATCCCAGTGCTAGGGAGGCTGAAAACAGGAGGATCACTCCAAGTCCAAGCTGTTAGTAGAACCCTGTACCAAATATATTTAAAAAAAAAAAAAGTTAAAATAAAGTTAAGAATTAGAGCCAGGTGTTGCGGTGCACAGTAATTCTAACTCTTGGGAGGGTGAGGAACAAGGACACTATGAGTTCAAGGGCAGCCTAGGCTATGTAGTGAGTTCAAAGTCAGCCTAAACTACAAAGTGGGGCCCTATCTCAAAAAAACAAAACACACAGATAGGTACATAGGCAGGCTAGCAGGCAGGCAGGCAGGCATTTTGCGTTAGAGTAAATGTCTAAGTGAAAGACCAAGTTTGGGAATTATCAATATACAGATTAGTTCAAGATGACATTGACAGTGGTGGGATGGTGCATAACAAGAATCTACGCAAGAATTGATTTCTGGGTCACTTCAATGAAGACTGGGGATAATAAATTAATATCCAAAGTAGGAGTATGAAAGCAGCAGCCAATGAAATCCGAGAAAAACCACAGCATGGTAGCCTGGAAGCCAAGAGCAGGCAGCGTTTTAAGAAAGAAATATAGTTAGAAACTGAGGTTTTAGGTAGGAAAGAGACAAAGGTATAAAAAAAAAAAATCAAAGAAGTAAAAACAGCATAATCATAAATGAAAACTAGAATGACACCATGGCCAACCCAGTAACAACACACATGCTAGTGCTACTGCCAACTGTGATCTCTAAATACTGTTATTAAAAGGAACCAGGTATCCTTAGGGAAGTGACAATCAAGGCCCGGGCAGGGAAGACACCAGCAGGCCTACAACATCTCCTTACAAGCCTCAAAGAAGCTTGGTGGTCAGGTTAGACATTTAGGATCAAACTCAAAATACCCCCACTGGTCCATAATGGCCCAATCTGAGTACTAATACGAACCACAATGGGCTGAAACACATAAAACTATGCTTTAAGTTACTTGTTTACAATCATATTTTTAAAAAAGGACACTACTTGGTCTTTTTTGTACAACATACAAAACCAATTAATTTTAAATACTGATAAACAGAATTGGGGCTATAACTCAATGGTAGAGGGCATGCTTAGCATGCATGAGGCCCTGGGTTCAGTCTTGGGAACACACCTACGCAGAAATAAAGGGAAAGAAATATTTAACCTGCTTTTTCTATATAAGCCATTACTTTAAGGTAACCAAATAACTGACATAAGAGTTTATTTTTACAAAAGTGTTCTTTTGGCTAATAAACGAAGGAATGACAAAATTCTATTATCACCATTTTATAATCCTTAATGGAATAAAGAGATCTAGGGCTTGATCATTATAAACTAAGATCAAAGCCAGGTGTTGTGCCGCACGCCTACACTCCCAGGACATGGGAGGCTGAGCTAGGAGGATCTCTGTGAGTTTGAGGCCAGCCTGAAATACACAGTGAGACCCTGTCTCAAAAAGAAAAGCTAAGGTTAAAAAAAAGACAACCTCATATCAAGCACTACCTGACCTGTGAAGTTTTTAATCCTCCCTGTGAACTAAACCTCAATCTGATCAAGTACTTAAAACTCAAGACCAGTCTCCAGTGTGCTCAGAGGCCAGAAGAAAATAGGTGCAATAAACACAATCAAGTGTGGGGAACAGGACAAATGAACCATTTTCTCTTCCCTGTTATATAAGGAAACACTCCAGAAGGAGTGGGAGGGCATCTCCAGGTAGACTGACTGGGTATCACTGTGAGCTATAGGTTTTATTAAAAACTCTGCCTTTAAAGATTTTTGTAAGAAATACAGAGAAAATGATGCCTAGTATTGGCTTCAAAATAAACAGGAGGAGGGAGGGGCAGAGCCACAAGACAGCTGTTAACACTGGGTGAAGGGTTTACAGACAGGAGTCATTGTATTATTTCTCTTCTGTTGTATTTATTTGAAATTTTTATTTGAATTTTTTAATAAGAAGCTTTATTTTGTTCTTTTTTGAGACAGAACTGAATACCAGAATTGGCAACGTGTAGGTCGCTGGCAGCACCAAAATAAGGGTTTTCTGGTATTATGACTGGAATGAGTTTAAGAACAGGTGTGGAGGTACGCACCTGTAATCCCAACTACTCAGGAGGCTGAGGCAGGAGGCAACTACCGGCAACTGTGCAAGAACTTGCCTCAGAATACAATTGGAGAAGGGCTGGGGATATAGTTAAGAGCTTCCTGGATTCAATCCCCAGAACTGGGATTGGGGGTGGAGTACAGCATACTAGCAGAGTTTCTCAGAATGAAATTTAAAATGGGAAGGCAGATGGGATTCTAAGAAGCCTTTCATTTTTAATCATTGGAGGTAAAGATCTTATTTGTCCACTGGTCGGAATAAGGAAGAAGAAGAGGAGGAGGAAAAAGAACAAGAGGAAGAGGAGGGGAAGGAGAAAAATGTATCACCCAAAAGAATGCAAGGATGAAGCAGGAACACCTTGAATTGGTGGGAGAAGTTGGGATGAGCCCACACGGAGGGACTGGTCTTGGTGAGATGTGGGGAAGGCTCCATCTACTTTAACAAGTTCAAAGCCAAGCAGAGATGCAAGCAAGTTAAAAGATTTGCTAGTAGAAAGATAAAAAGTTTTCCCTTAGTTGCTACTATGTCCTTAATAGAATACAAAGGAAGGCCATAAGAAATGTGTAAAACAGGAAGAAAAAAGTGGGCAAAGGTCTGAAGAGTTGTAGATTTTCTGAGCCATCTCCCCGGCCCCGAGTTGTAGATTTTATTTGGAATTTGTAGTAACAAATTTAAAGTAAAATCAATCAACATGTTTTACGTTATTTTTAAGCTATGTTCCACTGCTCTGGTACAGAAATGGCCCAGGCCAAGAGCTGACTTCTAAGTAGGGTAGCCATTTTTGTTACTAAAGCATGAAGGAAGAGGGCTAGGGGCTGGGATGTAGCTCAGTGGTACAGCACTGAGGCCAGGGGGAAGAAAAAAAGAAGGAAAGAAGTATGATGGAGGTGAAGAAAAGGAATGAAGCTGAGAACACTACAGAGCAAAAATAATGATGGATTATAGGAGATATGCACACACACAAAACGAAGTATACGTGTAAGGGGAGTATTTGGGCCTATGGTAGAGGAAAAAGAATTGCTAGAATAGCAAAAACAGAAAATATGGTGTGAAGACGGGATGTGAAGAGCAATGGTTGTTGGTACAGTAATGGCAAGAGTGAATAAAATGACCTTTGAAAGTGAAGTGTGCTTGCTTTGGCAGCACACATACTAAAATTAGAACGACAGAGATTAGCATGGCCCTGCAAAGGATGACACACAAATTTGTGAAGCGTTCCATATTTTTATCTTGTACTATAACCACTACGAAAATATGCAATGTATTAATTATTGAAACTGTCCTATTAATTTTGAAACTCTCATTGCTATTTGTTTCTTAATATAATTAATTTAAAAAAAAGAAAAAGAAAGTACTGGATTATTGGTACAGAAATCCCACAAAATACAAATTAAAGAACCCACAAAATTAAAATTGATATAACAACCTGAAGAAGGGGAGCGAAAGAGAGGGAGACAGACAGACAAACAGACACAAACAGACAGAGACACACATACAGAGACAGAGAGAGAGGGAGACAGAGGGAGGGAGAGGAGAGGAGGACAAGATAGGGAAGGGAGGGCGGGCGGGCGGGCAGGCAGATCAATCACTAGATCAAGGTCCTAAAAGCTCTGATGAAAAAGTAGGTGGCACACATATGACTGCAAAATGGCAAGGGCGTGTATTTCAAAGGAGCTGGTTTAGAGGGAAGAAGTATCCTAGGGGGCACAAGGAAGAATAAAAACATAACCCTCCTCTCTGCTGTGTGCATGTGGGATATGGAAGAAATGGCTAACCTCAGAAGGCTGCAAAGGCCCAGGTGTCAGGGAACTCACCCTGAACACCAGCACCAAATCACAGCCGAGTTCTCCACCTACAATGTAAAGCTGATCCTCTGCACTGTCAGCCTCATATCTAATGACCCGGCAATTTGTTTTGTTTTTTTTTTTTTTTTTTTAATTTTTAAAATTTTATTTATTTATTTATTTATTTATTTATTTATTTATTTATTTGTGTGTGTGTGTGTGTGTGTCCAGCTCAGCCCAGCAG